CATGATTAAATACTAGATAAATTATACTATGTAATTATTTGCAGTTAAAAGTGAAATTTAACCCACGAATTTTTAGTATTATTTAATAAGTATAATAATATTAATAAAAGTTACTATGAATTATTTGATTTTAATGCATTTTTTTTTTTTTGTTACTTTTGGAAGGAGGGACAATTTTTGACCGAGAACTGAAAATTGAAGAGGAATATATTCTTACAGTTTTCTCGCCAATATTCTCCCCTTGTTGTTTTTTATTTATGACCTAGTTGTGGAAGAAAAGCTTCTGCATTTAAAAAATGCTGCAAAATGCAGTGTTGACCTACAAAATCATGATTTATATGACTGTAAAGCGTTTACCCTCCTCCCAACAACAAACCGATTGCCAATTTGTGTGCCAGCTTGTTAAAGTGACAATTTATGATTTGCATATAATTTATATTTGTAACGATTGTCATCTTTATTGATATTTGCTTACAATTTATTTGTTTTAATAATTTGAATCATTAGTAGGATTTCTCTATTAGTTATTTTTTACTTAAATACATTTTTAGACTCTCCCAGTTTCCCTTGCGGTAGCTTTCAAAATCTCTAAGCAGCATACCTAATATGAAATTAAAATAAAATGTTTTTTCATATTTTGATACGTTATACCTTTACAAATACCAAAGCTAATATATAAAATTGAATTTTGGCAGCCCAAAAACGACTAAAAATTTTTTATAAAACTACATTTTTTTCAAACCCGCCATTTTGTCAATTTTTAATTTTTCCACTTGAGGGCATTTTACGGACTAGATCTTCCAGTGTGATTTTGTTAGAAGTTTTATCCACGGAGCAGACCGGAATTACTGCAGCGGTGGAGGATCTCCACAGATCATGTGTAAATGGAAAAACATTTAATTCTTTCTTCAAAAATGGTTCCGTGTATTATTAAAATGCGCAAATATTACCAAACATTTTTGAATTTTTTTTATTTCCTAAAAATCGCTATCACACTAGAAAACTATGAATTTTCTAATACATATACTTATAGGCTAAAAGTATAAATTATATAAACGGGAAGTATCGCTGTAATTGAAATATTTATAAATAGATATATATTATACGCCCTGGTGCACAACAATATTGACTACACCACTGTCAATCATGTTTTTATATATTCCAAATAGTATTGTAACTTACATTATATTACCGAAATCAGTTTATATATTACAATAACTATTTTTTTCATTCTACGAGAGGAGCTGGAGTTTTATTCAAATATTTTTTTATATTTTGCAATAACAAATTAGCCGATTTTTTTTAGCAAAAAGTATTCAAAAAAATAAAAAAAAATTTATTTGGAAAAAATGTATCGGCATTACCTGGGGAAAACTAATATGTAACGAATGGATGTTTGAATTTTTTATTTAGGATGATATATCACCAAGTTAAGATAGGCCCCGCAACCGTACTTTTTTCCGAGACACATTGGAATAATTTCTGTAATTTTCGCACAAATTTGTAACACCCAGAGGGAAACGAAACGTCGCGAACCCTATTAATACATATATGTACATATGTACATACATATACAGAGTCTGTCCATCTGTATGAACGTGAACAAGTTCCTCAGTTTTTGAGATATCAACCTGGAATGTTGCACACGTCTTTTTCTCACCAAGAAGCTGCTCATTTCGAAACCGCTAATATCAGATAGCTATAATATATAGCTGCCATACAGAATTAAGACCTTGTATGGAAAAACTTTTAATTTGACAAGTTATCTTTATGAAATCGGTCATTTTTACAATTTCCGAACATATTGTTCAGATCAGACCACCATAGCACATAAATTTACCAATCAAAATCAATATTGTTATGTTATAAAAAAGCACCTGTGAAGGGTATTATAGTTTCGGTGCAGTCTTAGTTAACGTTTTTTTTTTTGTTGTTTGATATTTTTTGATGAAAATTTTTTACTGTGTCGTCCCAAGAAATTCACCAAATAAGCATTAAATTAAACAAATAAGTATATAAATTGGTTCCAACACACATCTAAGAATATTTTGTTATATTATAAGTGCCACAAAAGCTTTGTTTACCGTTATTTATTGAAGTGCATCCCTTGACGTATTATTTGTCTTTCACTAAGAATTTTGCTTTAAATTATCACATTTTTAAGCGAAGATTATTGTATTTCATTATTATTAAAACATAATTGCAAACATACTTCTTCTGAAAACAAACATGTATGAATGATTTCACGGACAAAAACTGAACTCGGCCACAGGTTTTCGCCTACCAACTTCGCTGTTAACTGATTGATACTAACTTGCAGGTCCACTAACAGCATAACAACCAGCATCACACTTCCTCTTAAAAGCAAAAAAGTAGCAGCATTGAATAAACAGTGTTGCTTTTTACCTAAGGCACAATACTAAACGGATCATTAATTTGACTGTATCGGATAATTTCATATTTGGGGAATTAAACTGAAAGTTTAAATTCAAAACTAAAAATATTGATCATTCATAGTAGTAGTCGAAGTTCCCACGAAAGCCGGGGCTAAGAAACTGGAACAGGCCGAAATGTTTTCTGCTGCAACAACACCAAAGCCATTAGTAACTTTGAAATTATTATACCTTTACTGACTAACTTCAATAGGTCTGTTTTTTGTTAATTTCGTTTTATTTTTTTATATTTTATTTTGCAGTGTTTCAGGTTGAACTTTTTAGTGATTTGAGTATTGTAAATATTTGATTTTATAGTATATTAAAGCAGCCGGGTTGAAGCATATAATATGAAATAAAGTGAATTAAACTTGCCAACTGAAAATTATTAAATGATCTTTGTAATTTTCAATTATGAAGCCTCAGATCACTAAATATTGCTCTGAAAAATATGAAATTTTAAATGTTTCATTTTATTTTTATTATTTTAATTTTTTTTTAGTGATCTTGATCAGCAGTTACATATCTTTCCATAGAAACATTTTTTTGGCAGGATTCTAATCTGTTAGTTCCTGTTGATAAACCTAACCTAACTGATCCAGTCAACTGTCAATGTTGGGTATATGATTTAGGGCATATTCACCTTGAACTTTTGGTCTGCTTTGCGGCAGATACTTCAGGGGTATGTTCAATGTACCATGCATAAGCACTTTTTCACCACAAGTTAAAAGTTATACTCGGACAAAATTTACACATTTTCTTTATATGAGTAAGTGTGTTAACTCGGATGCATAAACGGCTTTAGAGTTAAGTTGAACGTCAAGTCAGCTGATTTTAGAAACTGATTCAAGCAGCGCTCGCTAACCGAGTGAAAATGAAGAATAAACATAGTAAGGCATTTGCTTTGACAGAAAAATTCGATTAATGCTATGTAAGACGTTCACATCGAAGCGAAACGCAGCAACGCGAAGCAAAATGACGTTTTTATTACAGATAAACACTGAAATCAAAGCGTTAATTTTGGAAAACCTTCTGCTTTGTTGTTAAAGATTAATTGTTAAGCGAAGTGAGGAAAGTTGTATATGAATGGCCCATTACGCTCTCAATTTAAACTTATCTTTTTAAAAAGAGGATTTCATTCATGAAAGAGCTAAAGGAATGGAACAAAGTTTCTATTCCATATTTTACTTTTATCCGGAAGCTCCGATTTTTGTTGAACAATTTTTTCAAACAGTTGTGCGAAAAAAACTAACATCAAACTATTTTAAAGAAGATTTGATACAATCTTAATAGTATTGAATAAATATCTGATTTCTTACAAAATATTTATTACCGAACATTTATGGCATCTGTGAAATATTTGTAAACGTTTTACTTTTGAAGTTTTTTTAAGACAAATTTTCAACTTCATGCATTGCACTGGTAATTATTCTGCCGGCAATTTATATATTTATTTCGTAAATATTACTCGACAACCCTGCAACAAGAGCTTTTAATTTGAGGCGTCAGACATATTTTGATTTTATTGATTTTATGCAAAACTATTCCATGTACATTTTTATTATTGTGCAATGCATGCTTACAAGGAGATTAACATAATTAATTTCAGTGGTTAATACTAAGTTTCTTTTAAAATAAAATCACTCACCTAAGAAAACACCGCACATGAAATTAATGACTAAAACAAACTATCAAAAATGCAGCACTTGTTATGAGAGAGCGTGAAAAAAACACTCTCAAGTAAGAAGGAGAGAAATTCGTAAAACCATAAACTCTTAAGAGGGAATTGAATATTTATTATTTGGACGAATAAATAAAAGCGCCGGGAGCATCTAAAAAGCAAAGCGGAGTATCTTGTATCAAAAAAAAAAGGATGAAAAGGATGAAATTGTAATTCATATTATGAACTGTTCAGAATAATAAGAGTTAGAGAGAGATGACTCTTATATACAAAGAGGGGAGTAATATAGTTCCATTTTAAATGTAAAGGAAAATGTGCCTGGTGCTAAGATAAAAGTTTAGTGCCAAAACAAACTGAGTTGCCAAAAGTTTCTGAATTAAGATTATAAATGGCGTAATTATCGTAATGCTTATAACTCCAAAAACTTTTTGCACGGAAAAGTTTCTTATTAGAGTATTAAATTCTAAAATGCTGCTTTGAAGTATTTATGTATATATAAGAGCTGAGAGTAACTACTATTTTATTATACGTAATTGAACTAAAAGTAACGTTAAAGTGATTTTGTTAACAAATGTATCCAAATTTTTTGACATACATAAATGTGTTTCTATATACGACCATCTTTAAAGCCTGGCATTAGACTTTTATTAATTTAAATTTATAATGTAGTATATTAGCACAGGGTTTTAATCGTAAACCTTCTAAAACGGTGTAATTAATTTTTAAAAATTGATAAAGGAATCTGTACAGATTCTACATTTTTTAAAAAGTAAACTGCACATACATACATATTAATGTTTGATATTTGTTGAATAGTTATACAACGCATTATAGGGGTATCAACATTATTATCTTATATTGGCAACTCTGTATATGTGTGTCGTATTGCAGTATATAATAGCCATTTAATAACGCGAGACACACTTGTAATGAGAAGTCGGAATTGAATTTATTAAATATTGACAGTGAAAAGCGTAATATTTTGTATTCAATTATAATTAATAAAATTGGAATAGTAATACAGCAATTTGAGCTTGAAATGGAAGTGATCGAAGATGCAATTGTGTCTGAAAATTACTTGTGAAAATCTATGGGAAAATTTTCAAGTAAAGCGAATAGAATTTTATGGAAATAGAGCAATAACGATAGAAGTGAAGAAGAAAAGGCGATTTAAGAAAGAAGCGGTGACAGAGACAGCAGCTAGAGTGAGAGAAAGGTGATTGCGAAAAATCGAAAAGAAGAAAAAACAGAAACAGTGAACACACAAACAACAAAAAGGTAGCAACAAAAATGACATTTCGGCAGAGACGTCGACAGTGTTGATTGCAAAGTCGGCGACGACGACAAAATGTTTGGTCGGCGTACGTGTGTCAATGAAGAGTAGCGTAAAATATAAGAAACACAATTCATTTAAAAATAGTGCTATAAAGTTTTGATTAAATATAATTCATTCAAAGAAAAACAAACTTCATAAAAAGATAAAATCGTAAAAGTGTATTGAATCAAATTTTGAATATTGGAAAATACATAAAATCTAAAGTAGTAATTAAAACAGAAAGAAGAAGCAACAAAGTGTATTAAGGAAAAGAAACAACAAATTACCGAAAGCTAGTGGATCCTCTCAGACACAGTTGTATCACGTAGAAACGAACTCGGAGCGTAAAGCAAACGCAAAACATTAAAAATCTGGGTACAGCAGCCAGATTTGGTGTGTATATTTCCAGTGGTGTTGTGCAAAGCAAGGCAAATAGTAAGTGTATAGCAAAACGTTTCTTGATAGGTGGAAACGTAACATCAACAATGTATCGTGATGAAATATCGCTTCCATTTAAGCGTGTCTTAAGTCCTTTATTGTTTTGCTTTTCTCTTACGTATGTGTTTATATATTTATGCATTTAGCTGGAGATCCTATTAATTTATTACAACTTATGATTTGATCATCATGACCATTGTTCAGCAGGAATGAAGTTAGAGAATTCACAAATCAGAAATAAATATGGCAAAAGGAAATGTTTTTAACTCATTATTCTGTTAAGAATTCGAGTTAATTGAAATTTTATTGTTACAGTTGGTGTACGAACTCTTCAAAATATAGCACATAGATAGCACGCGCCCCTGGTCTACTTTTATATCCACTAATAATTCTAATTGTTAAAAATTAACGAGTTCAAAGTAAATACACACATTTTAATGATAGTTAACGCAATTTATGGGGAAGGTAGGTTTTTATTTATATTTTGATAAATTTTTTTTTTTTTCAATTAATGCAATTTAATCCAAAAGTGTTCGGTCTAAATTTAAAATTGGCGTTTCCTGAGTATAATATTATCTGACGAATGAACCTTGATATTTTGAATTCGGACAATCGAGCAACGAGTTATGAAGGGCACCGCTAAACATGCTTTTTCCAAACGATTTAAAGTAATTGCTGTCATTGGCTAATTTTTTTAATATTCCTCCTTGAAAACTTAACACAAAATTCTTCAAATATCTTTTAATGTGCAGTTAGTTTTTATAAATACACTAGTGGATCTGGCCACCCGTTGCGGTGGTATACATTTTATTCATATAGTCATAGAAATTTTTATTTACGAATAAAAGAGAAAACGTTTTTGTCTATATAAAAATCCAAGGGATTGTACTTGAGGTTTAATTTTGAATATATTCATAGAAATTAATTTCATTGGAAAAAATAACGAATTTAAGGCTGCTTTCTCAATGTCTGGTCTTTCTGTCCAGTTAATAGAGTTGTCCGCTTAATAGAGATATATTTTTTATTTATGAATTGTTTTTACTATCCTATGTTGTTGTAGCGGCTGAATTCTGCCGAGTTGACAGTTCTTGACCAGATAAAAATCCGGGTCCGTTCCGTTTACATAGACCCGACGATACTATCCTATCTTCTAAGTTGGTTTAAACCGAACACAGTGTGCTAAATTTTACTCAAATCGGTTCAGTAGTTTAGGAGTTAATTGCGGACAAACAACGCGACACGTTCTTTATATACATATGTATATAAAGATTTTATCCGTTACGTAAAAAGGTGTCTTATTTTACACGAATTAACTCTACTTTCCTACCAAAAATATTAATACAAATTATATGGATTTTGTTTAATTTAACAGAAATGTTCTGAAAATAGCAACAGCAATGAGAATTCGCTGGCAGATTCTACACTTGAAATTAGTAAATTATTAGTGTTTAAATAAATTTCAAACAGAGTTCAGAGAGATCTTTGTTAAAGCGAAGTTCCAAGCTTATTTAAATCAACATTTATACATTTAATTATATAGTAAAATGTTAATCGAACGGATCAAGTGAATTTCTTCCCTTTTTAATTATTGTGATATTTATGTGGGTTGGTATAAAAAAAATAAATTAAGCCAGTTTTATTTATCACATTGCCACAATTCCGCGCCAAAAATTTACATACGGAGGTTTCAAAATTATTAAAAAACTATTTTTTAAACGTCCAATTCCATTCTTTAAATATTAGTTTACTAGTATAAACAGATTTGTTATCACAGTATGAAGCTGGTGTTGCTCCTTTAGCAACTCTAGTACTAATTTATTGTTTTGTAAGCTTTATTGCTTTTACTTGAATAAATGTAACTAAATATGCCAAATATACATGCGATTGCAACAGTGGTAGTGCATCGAAGCGCATCTTCAGTAATAAAACGAAAATCGATTACTCTTCAAGTGCAAATCTGCTCATCAAGTCTCGGATTCGCGCATACGACAGAACCCTGCAGCCTCAGCTTTATTATGGCGGCGTTAGCATCAACGTAAGCGCAAGTCCTCGGATTCTCGCCACCTTCTACTTGTCCTCATGGTTTTTGTGCCCGTTCGACATGGCAAAGTGTTTGTTGATCGCGATGAAGGTACAACGGGTAGCGTAAACGCACCTTGCGTTGTCCCATCCTCCGGCCCTTCACGTTCCTATGTCATGCGCTCTTTTATTATAGTTTCTCATTCTGCTGCAATAGTATGCGACGGCGGCATCATAATCATCATCTATAGCTTCGCCGTCATCGCATGCTGAACAGTTTGTCAATTCCTTCATTGTACTGTTTTTATATTTCGAATTTGATTTTTATTTTTTACTTACTATCCCCTTTTTCTTTTTTGGCTATGTGTTTCAGGTTGTGTGCTGGTTTCTGTGGTATTTGTATCTTGAACGTATCAGCAGCAGAGGCAACAATACAAAAACAGCATAGGTACAATAGCGGCAACGGTAGCAGCGCAGCCACAGCAACAAACGTACACGAACACAATTATTAGCGCAACGACGTTTATTTAGTGAAGTGGTTGGAAAAGCAGAAGAAGCGGCAGAAATAGCAACAAAAGCTTACAAAATAAAGAAAAAACGGTAAAAAGAAGAAGCAAGCATGGCAAACATGAACTAAATTTTGCATAAGACGAGAAACGAGCATTTTAATTGTAAAAAGTTCCCTTCGATATGTGTTTTTGCAAATAATAGTAAAAACAAAAAAAAAAGAAGCTAATATAAAATATAGTTTATGCGGAACATAGAAAGAAGTGAAAAAGAAATCAAATTAATACCAGTAATAATCAGCAACAGTATTGGATTTACTTGACATGGTATTGTGGAAGAAGAAGCAAATGTGACTACAGAAAAGCAAAAACACGAATACAGGAGGACGAGCGAAACGCACAAGTTACCCACGAAAGCAACTGATACAACAGAAAGTACATTAAATATGCTGAAAGTAAAAAAAATAAAAGAGAATGACTGCGTGAGCTTCGCAGTGGCGGCGAGCGCCTATTAAATTTGTAAGGTGGCCTCAAAACTTAAAGAATAGAAAAAAGTAAATGGAAACAGATTAAGAATATTATATGAAAAAGTGAAAAAAATAATATATATCTATATATATAGAGAGAGATATAATCTAAGAGACACTATAGTTGGAAATTAAAGAGTCGAATACCGGTAAGCAGTGTTTTAAATTTTCAACCACTGCGAGGAAAAAACAAGGCTCTGATCGAGTTCCGACTATATTAATAAGATTAGTAAAAGTGACTAACTGATCCAAAAATACTAAACAAGAGTTGGAAGTAAGAAAAAACCGCGCAACACATCACAACAGAGAATGTATGGAAAGGCGAAGACATCGTCAGTGCCATCAGATGCACAGGCACGTGAAAAATTGGCACTATATGTTTATGAATACCTGTTACACGTTGGCGCCCAGAAAGCAGCACAAACATTTTTATCTGAAATTCGGTGGGAGAAAAACATTACGTTAGGTGAGCCACCTGGGTTCCTACACACATGGTGGTGCGTGTTTTGGGATCTCTACTGTGCCGCTCCAGAACGGCGAGATCAATGTGATCATTCATCAGAAGCCAAGGCCTTCCATGACTATGGTTTTGTTAGTTCCGGCTATGGAGTAAATGGAATTGGTCCCGGGGGACCGCATAGTGCTGGTGGTCCAGCTCCTAGTCCACTGGGTCAAATGCCACCAGGTAGTGAAGGTCCGATGGGGCCAGGTGGTCCAATGGGTCCCAATTTTTTTCCAAATTCTACAATGCGACCCTCACCCCCGACTCATGCGTCGAGTCCACAACCGCCACCATCACAAATGATGCCTGGTCAACCGCCATTTATGGGCGGTCCGCGATATCCTGGAGGACCCCGTCCTGGTGTACGTATGCAGGGCATGGGCAATGAATTTAACGGTCCTCCTGGTCAACCCATGATGCCGAATAGTATGGATCCAACGAGACCTGGAGGTATGGGCCCAATGAATCCGCGTATGAATCCTCCTCGTGGACCAGGTGGAATGGGTCCTATGGGTTACGGTGGGCCTGGAGGCATGCGAGGCCCTGCTCCAGGACCGGGTGGAATGCCACCTGGTATGGGTATGGGAGCGGGTGGACGACCGCCACAGTGGCAACCAAACGCTACAGCACCAATGAACGCTTATTCATCATCTTCGCCAGGGAACTATGGCCCTGGACCTGGTTCGAATGGACCACCTGGTCCAGGAACGCCGATTATGCCATCACCCCAAGATAATACCCAAGCTGGTCCAGGCGGCCCAGGCGATAACATGTACTCGATAATGAAACCCGAATTTCCAATGGGTGGTGGACCCGATGGCGGTGGAGGAGGTCCGGGTGGTATGGGTCCTATGGGCGGGGGACCTAATTCAATGGGTCCTGTACTTAATGGTGGCGGTGGAGATGGTACCGGATTAGATGGCATGAAAAATTCGCCAGCAAATGGAGGTCCGGGAACGCCTCGGGAAGATTCTGGAAGCGGAATGGGAGATTATAATTTGGGCGGATTCGGTGGTCCAGGGGAAAATGATCAAAATGAATCAGCAGCTATACTAAAAATAAAGGAAAGTATGCATGAAGAGGCCAAAAGGTTTGAAAAAGATTCGGAACACCCGGACTATTTTATGCAATAACAACATAGTAGCAACACGGCCACGACGCACACGACAGCGGCAGTAGCCGCAGCGGCGGCAGCTTTAGGAGCAAATATATTAAGCGGTCAAGCTGCAGCCGTTTCTCAAAATCTTAGCACCAGTAACATTAGCAACACTAGTGGCAACAACAATCTCATCAACAATGCCAACAATAGTAGTCCCCCTGCATTAACGCCGCATTTCCATAAGGAACTTAATTTTTAAAGAAATAATTTTCGATTACCATTAACATCAGAAAGAGAAAGATCATAAAAATTTATATATATACAGTTATGAGTAAAACACACTGTTGAATTATCAATAACAGTTTATAAATAATCCAAATTCAGAAAGCATGTCTTTAAAAATTATCAGTTTGGATATGAGACCAACCGTAAAGAAGAACAGTTAAGATAATGCCCAAGAAATGTAATTTATCCGGGATCTTTAATCGATGGGTCTGTTTTCCTCCTCAGACAAAGCGCCAGTAACGCGGATAAATCTTCAATTAAGGGAGCTACCCAACTTGATCTTCGAGTAACTTTTACTTTGAAAAATTTGCAGAAAGTATTAAGATTGTACAAAATAAAAAGCGCAATTAAATATATCAATAGATACCGTGCACAGTCGATTTTACAAATCAAATAAAAGATAATTCATTTCGAATGAGGATTTTAGATGGTCAAGATAACGAAATTATACAAATATGCAACAAAAATCCTACATCCCTATTTTTGATTCATTGCTAAGCATGAAGCAAATATGAAATAACATGAATAGAAAAAGATCAGTAAAGACATGTTTTTTTTTGTAAAAAAAATATACAAACATTTACCAATAATTGTTAATCCTAAAGTAATATGGTACTTATTAAAGCGAACTTAAACTGTATAATATTCAACATAAACGACTACATATTACTAAATGCTAAACGCAGATATGTTAAAATATAAAAACTTTAGCTATTAAAAGATTGCACCTATGAGGAAATACTTTAATGAAAAAACCGTGCATATGTAATAGTATTTAGTGTATACGCGGTAAATGCAGCATTACAGTTGTATATGCTGCATAAACCGCTCACCCATAAATATACGTGTATAATATACTAAAACATGGAATATGTAAAATATATATAAATAAAAGGTGTATAACAATTATTTGTCAGAAGCAGCACTCGAATTTTATAAAGTCTCTTTTTTCGGTTGCATTAATTATATGAAAAGTGATCAAACGGCGAAAGAGGAGAGAAGTGTGGACACCACCCAACAAATATCTAAATTGCACAAATTGAATGCAATGCTGCGTAGATCGAATAATTTCTCCTGAAATAGTAATACAATTATTTTCTTTGCGTTCAATAAAAATAATATAAATATAATCAAGATTTTATAAAGCAAAACTAGTGCTCAGCACATATTAAAATTAATTGGGCAGAATTGTACACCCAAAGTAATTTTTTTTTGGTAGTAATTTATACAATTTTAAATGATTTTCATATGAACATATGGGCATAATTTAATAAGTGTGGTAGGAATAATTATATGGTTTAAATGTGAACATATGTTCTATTTTTTCGCTTTCATTGAAAATTTTTATTTAGTTTAAAAAAAATGCAGCCAAAGTTTTGAAGTAGAAAAAGTAACTTTGCTGGTTGATTTGTAGACTTTTAAAATAAAAATAGTCCCGTATTTTACTTCAAATGAAACATGCATTATCGGCGGATACGCGAAATATACGAAGTTCCATTCTTTATTTTGTATGTCTTTATTTATTAAGTTCAATATTCTAGATTCTGAACAGTTGTAACGATTTTAAATATTTAAATTTCAATTAATTTTAAAGTAGTGCATTCATGACGAAACATCACGCGCTGTTTTAATAAATTTGTTCTTAGAATTATAGATATGGCATTCTATACATATTGAAACATTATTCAACCTAATTTGTAATTACAGTCTGAAACAAATTACTGTTGAAGGTGTCACAAAAGATCTTACCAAGTGCTATCAATAGTGGTGGTGTGCCTGCGAAAAATATGTAATTAGACAAAAATAATTCTTTTGTTCGCATATAAAAAAATGTAAAATATATGTTTATATCTATTCAAATGCTATATATATGCGTAAATGCAGATTTAGTATTGAATGAGTGATTTTATGCGGCTGAGGGAAAAATAGAATCATCCCATATACACGTACATATGTAGACATAAATATACAAATATTTCTATAACTATGCTTATATAGCGATAAATATACATATAAGTTGCATGTGTATATATACCAATATATAACGCATTATTGTACAAAAATTCAAATTATATACACAGCATATGTAATTAAATAAAATATTTACTTATATATAAAAAATAATTATTATTTCAAAAGATAGCACATTACAACTTAAAAGTCTTTATAGTTATCATTAGCAGAAGGGAAAGCAAAGAATAAATAAAATAAAAAAAAAATATATAAAAAGCGAAAAACACTTAAAAACAAAAAATGGTTGAATAAATTAGTTAATAAGTACAATGTAAGTAATGAAATATGAATATCTATTATGTAGGCATGTATTGTACAATATTTATACATGGATTATTGATCATTGTTCTTACATGTATGTAAGTAGTATTTTCATCACGTTTCTTTTCTTTTTTTATTACTTCTTTCTGTGTCCTTAGAGCGGTTTAGTCTTAATTTTAATGATTTTTCATATCCCAAAAATTAGGGTTAGTCCTATTTGATGTATTAATTTTATTTTAAAAATCAAAACAGATAAATCAAAACACATGCATTACAATGGTATTAAAAAGAGCGTTTCATTAACTGCATCACTTTTGAAATACCACATATACACATTTTTTATTTATAAAGGTAAAGTTGATTAAAATTTTATTAGTATCTGAAAATTAATTTGTAGTTGCATATTTCAACAAATATTAAATACGAAAACCACTAAAGAGTTTTCGACAAATGCAAAATAATGAAAATATTAATTTCTAAATTTTATATTATAAGCTTAAGATAAAAAATAAAATACCTATATATTCATATATAAAATAAAAATTTGCATATGACCAAATTGTGTGAAAGAAGGAATGTACAATGAATGCACACTTTTATGCGATTAATGTCATTGTAATCGACGATGATGAATGTGATCATCGTGGTAATATTTCGTGATGAGTATATGAATTTTGATGCAGTTTGTATGCATGAAACGATAAATAAACCGCAGTTGCAAATATTAAAAAAAAACCAACAATTAACAATAAATTATGAGTAAAAACGAATTATTGAAATGTGGTGGTGAATTATGCAAATATGTTTAAAATAAGTATTTTTAGTGTTAATTATATACAATTTGCAAATGGCATAATGGCATAATAACATGAAAAACATAAAAACTATAAAAACGTGAAAATGATGAATAAAGTTTTAAAACAAAAGTATTTGTAAAAAGTAAAAGGAGCATAATTTTGTTTTATTATAAATATATATAGTTAGGGCGTGTGAGGTGTGGTAGCACTGCAACAGTACTTTGGTTTTATGATAACACAATTTAATTTTAAACACAACTTGTGCAAAAATTAAAGTTTTATTTACAAATTTCGTTGTAATATACAAATATGTGAAATAAAACCTGTTTACAGAACATTCGACTTTTTACCACTTTCGATAAATACTTAATATACCCCGAAACGTTCAAAAGTACTTTGAATACTTGTGCTTCGTTGGCGGACGTTTCTATGTGGCATTATTAGAGCGTGCCGGCTGCCGCTCGGTACGCAAAATATGCTTCCACTGCGTTGAATTTTATTGCTTAAAATATTGTTATTATTCGCCGGCAGTTCAATTGGATCGGGCAAACTATCGTTGTGTCGCGTCACTATGAACGTATCCTCCAGGCAGATAGTGTTGGCACGATTTGTACTCTTTAAAAAAAATGTACAGCATAAACATAAAATCACATAGTTATATTTTTACAAATATGCATTTATAGATGCGTATCTATAAACTTTTTTTTTACTCACCCAACGCTCCAAATCACAAAAACGTATTACGTCGCCACTAGTGGAGGGCAATGATAAATTAAGCCCACCATAGCTTGGCAAAGTGGCATCTGTTATGTCGGTTGTAGGAGTACTGGTTGCACTTTCGTGTAAACATTCATCATTATTGGCTACACAGGATTTCGTCATGGTCTTAGGAACTCGTAAGTACAATCCCCGATTAGTGGAAAATAGAACAGGTGTTGTAGATTTTGTTGCCTTTATTTGTAGATTTTGATTACAGCTATTGTCGGTGTTAGTTTGAGCGCATCTACCAGATTTTCCAATACTTTTAGTTCGAAAAGCACTTATGAAGTTTTCATTTTTTGCACGTTTTCGAGTAGGGGGTGGTGTTTGTGTTGATTCATCACTGTCGGATACTGCTGATGTACAAGGGTTTCTCCAATTCCAAGGTGCCATCCAATAAAATTATTTGTATTTATTTTATATAATATTCCTTCTTCTTAGCATACTTTTTATTTTATATTGATTTATTCACTTGTCTTTGGCGTTTAGTGTTGTGGCAAAAGTATAAAATATTGCCAAAAATTTGTTAGTTAGCTACGTGAGTGATTTTGCTAACGGTTATTCACTGTGCGAAGTCCGAGATTTTTGTTATGCGAAAATGAAGTTAAGAAAAATATGTATGTGTGTACAAACGCTTAACAGCGCTCACTTTGTTGAACTTTGATGACATTCTGAGGTATATATGTATAAGTTATTCTGAACACTTTCGGAAACTCCTATAGTAGTATCATTACAAAATAAAGCATATTTGTGTCGGTGTAGTGAATTATTTGTTTGCCTTGGTAACGTACAATGTTTGTCCACATTAGCAAAAAATTTTTATATGGAAAATATTGTACACAATTTCTTTCCAATTATTTTACTGTTAATCTTAATAAAAATATGATTTTCATAAATATTCAATGGAATTTATTTTATTTGACGTTCAAACTTTAACTAGTCCCTCTTTACAATATTCTACAAACTATGAATTTTAGACTGAATTACTAGTAAGAGCCGCCATTAAAAACTCCATTTTATTGAGGAAACTTTTGCCTTCGATTTTATCAAAGCGGACCTAAGTAAATGGTTAAAAAATATCACTTATATACAATATAAAATATCTAAAATGAATAACTTACTTCTTTAAAATGTCCTCCCAAATTTTCCCAGAATTTTTCTGGTACCAGGGGATTGGGTATAAAATCTGGACGTGGACTACGAGCAATATAAACTTTAACATCGATTTGCGGGTCACAACGTATTTGTACCGCAATCATGCGATCTCCATTTGGTGACGCCAACAAACAAGAGCTAGCATTACCTAGTGGTTCAACCTTACCAATACCGAGATTGTTACTGTTCGATAATACTGTCCAAGCCATACAACGAGCCAAATTCAGAAGACACGATATTTGATGTGAATTGATCTGACACAAGATTAGATCACGCAACTCTTGCGGTTCATATGAAAGATGCATTACACGACCATCGCGGCAAATACATTTTAGAGATCGCTCTTTAACATGTATTACTAACGACGTCCGATTTATTGTGTCGTATCTGTGAAAAATTTTATATATATACATTTTTATCAAAATTAGACAAAATTATTATTTACCCATGTGTAACAATATTAATTTTCACACACGACATTATAGGACTGTTCATCGCATTCCAATGCGACACTATCTGAGGGTCTTTTACATCTCTAGCCAAAGTGTCCAAAACGTATTGTGTGCGCTTTCGCATAAATATATGCTGAGCTTGGGCAATTATTTGTTCTAGTATTGTCTGTGATTTTGTCATCTCTAGTAAACTTTCACGATCTGCCGCTTTCGGGCCAGCAAGCATACGCTTCTTACTTGGCCCCAATGGTCCGCTGGTAGGGTGAGGAAAGGGATGATGTGAATTCTTGTGATGCACTTCACGTAAAAGTTGATGTAATGAGTGTTCAAGTACATGATCATGATCGTTAATAGGTCCAGGTTGACTCGAATCGAAAGTTGTAGAATGACAAAGGGAAATAATAAGCTGAATGCCCGGCAGTAAAGTTGCACGGATTTGATTACCAATAACAACATGTGGTATTGGAGCCTGTAATTGAATTGCTTCTCGAGCAAGTTGACTGAAAAGTTCCTTACAAAAAAGTACATTCTGTGCGAATTCCAAGGTCTTTTGCCAAACACCTGCCTAATAATTATTTTTTTTTAACGAAGCATATAAGTAGCGAAATTTTTTCAAAGGAAACAAAATTGTGATTCGAAATCTTACCTGTTGTGTTATATTGGGTCCATGACCCATTAAATTAACATTCGCTGTGCATAAATCTTCCTGGTCTTTCTGAGTTATAACTTTTATATATGCTACGCCTTGTAACTCTGCTGGTACAATCACGCGCAAAGAGGATGTAGTTTTCGGCGATTGAGTTGGTAAGCCATTATTTCCGATACCAGTGGTACCTGATACCGCTTCCTCGTCAGCTAAATCTTCCGCCTTTGTCACTTCAAATGTACCGCTCATTCCGTATTTTGATCCAGCTGTACGATAACTTAAGTCACCAATAATAGCATTTGAAACTTTTTTCAGTCGCCAATTCTGTCGTAATCGTAATAATTCAATATGAAAGTCTGTCACATTACGGTTCCGTTGTTCGCTGTGCGAGTTCCTCAGTCTTTCTGCACCACTCAAAAGAACCTGTGCTGCTTGACCCAAAGCTTTTTTTCGACTATACACTTGTACTATAGGTTTTATCTCATCAGGATCTTCTGGTACTGGGTCCAAAACTAAATAACGTTTATCCTTAGCTATTGAAATTACGTCAGAAAGTACGCAAATTTCTGTTAAAGCATCATTCAGCTTGTTGCGTACCGAGTCCCATGGCCACAGACTTGGTTGAAACTGAGATGAATCTTTAACGTCATCTTCAACGGATTTATCCTCCTTTTTTAGATCATCTAAAGATGTTTTACTAAAATCTATTCGAGCAGCACAGCGGGTTAGTGTTTCGGATAAAGTTGGAGGTCTATTGATAAAAACTATAGTTATTACATTTTGTTTAAAATTTTGAACGCACTCACGGTTGGTAAATTTCAGTGCCATCGTATGTTATTTCCTGAATTTGATTTTCACACGTTGTTTCCACAGAAACGTTTACGCCGTTTGTTATATTCATTGTAAATATAACTTTTCTGCCCGCAAAATACAAAAAACAGCCTCCTGATATAAAAACCAAAGAACTTTTTATATATCACCCCCTTCTTTAATATTAGTCAGTTCACAATCGCTGTCGTCAAAGTGTAATGAAGTGCTAATTTTAACTGAAGACTATATTATCGATAGGTGCAGTTAAAACATTTGTTTATAAGATTATTTCAAAATTAACTTTTTTTTATTTTTCAAAATATGAGCGAAAATTATACAAATGTATCAATGGGATGTAAAGAAATGCAAGTTATTTGCATTTCAAGGCTATCGATAATTTGTGAAAACTACGTTACTGATGGTGCTATTGGCTGTTTTACAACACTGTTCTGTACTGTATGCAGACAGCAGAGAACGTCTATATAAATCTGCATCTGCTGCATGTTTATGCTAGTTCATGCTATCATGATTATTTGTTCAGTGTACTAGCTGTCAATTATTTTGTTGATATAGAGGAGATATGTGATTTCGTAAAAGTATTTTGTTTTTTCTGTAAAAAATTAACAAAATGGCTACGAAACGTAGATATATTGAGGATGAGCTTTCGCGATTCGAGGCGGAAATATCTAAACAAACTTCGCAGCCTGCAAGAAATTTATTCGTTCCTTCTCAAGTAAGGCCTATAATTGCAGCAAACACGTACAACCAGGTTCAGCAAAAGTTGCAACAACAACCGCAAGGGACAACAATATCTTCGCCAGTACAAGTTACTCCACGTGTAACAGTAGCCCCGCCAGTGATTCCACCACCAACATTTATGCCCACTTTTGTACCTACTCAAGTAAATAACACTGGTGGGCAATTGAAAGCTGTAGGACCGTCACCTTCTTCTCTTACAGCGACGCCTGTTGTGGTTAGTAGTGCTCCAAAATTATACCAAAGTAGACAATCGGTGAATGTTCCTGCTACACCGCATATCGACATAAATGCCATACAATTTGATGTTACTCAAAAATTAAAAAAACTAAAAGCTGAAAAATCTGGTCCAAATCCTATTGCAGAGGAAGCAATTAAAGCCGCTAGAGCATCATCAGCTTTGCAATCATTTCAAACAACAGAGCGGAAAAAGAAGGATCGTAAGACTATACGAGTAGCGGGTGGAACAGTCTGGGAGGACTCTTCATTAGCAGATTGGCCTGATGATGATTTTCGCATATTTTGTGGTGATTTGGGTAATGATGTGAATGACGAAGTTTTAACCCGGACATTTAATAAATATCCGTCTTTTCAACGAGCACGCGTTATCCGTGATAAAAGGACTGGAAAAAGCAAGGGGTTCGGCTTTGTAAGTTTTCGGGAGCCAGCAGATTTTATACGTGCGATGAAAGAAATGGATGGTCGTTATGTCGGAAGTAGACCAATAAAACTACGTAAAAGTACATGGAAACAACGCAGCTTGGACATAGTCAAGAAGAAGGAACGTGAAAAGCAGCAGCTGTTACAATCCTTCAATTCATAATTTTTTCAAGCATAATGATATGCTTATGTGAATAAATTATGATTATTTAAATTTTAAATACAACACGTGTTCATTTGAGAATTATTTTTGTGTCAATCAAATAATAGTAAACTTCCTGGAATTACCGCAATGTAAAAGAATATTTAGATTAAGAACCATTAATCTAAAAGCAGCTCAAAACTTGAAAAAACATTTTACTTTTGTTCTTACCAACAGAAAAGTTTGACCAAACATCCATTAATAAATATGTGTGACTTCAATTTGATATAACAATACTTAAAATTGTTTAAGTTAAAACTTTGAATATAAATTAAAACATTTACTAAATTAAAATACAAATTTTCGGTATATCTAGCACATATATCCTATTGAAATAAATAAATATTTACATATAAGTATTTTCATACATTTTTAATGTTAATTCTTCTATTCATAGCTAACATTGCTACTGTTAGATTCAAATAAGTGGGCGGCGTTCATCATCGGCATGATCGTTCACTTCACTGATTTTTTCATTTGAAGATAAATACTCAGGTGTCTTTGATTGTGGATTCAACTGATTATAATTATGTGTCAATCTTTCACATGTTCGTAAATAGGGGCGATGACAATGAATTGAGTATACGGAAGGATAATATTGTCTATAAACTGCATAAGTACAAAATAATCCAATTAAACTACCGGCAACAACATCCTCCCAATGGTGATGATAATCGCAAGTTCGACTAACTGCTATCAAAGCTGCTAAAATCAACGGCAAAATTGAAACGCATAAACGCCAGGATTGACCGCGACCACGAGCACTCAATGCATGTAATTTAGCGGCTATATAAATAGCGATGAAGCCTAAACCAACAAAAGAAACTGTAATAATAAAAAAAGATACGTTAGAGAAATGTGTACATGTGCTTAGAAAGGGTTTGCAGGTTAACACTTACATGAAGCATGACCGCTGGGGAAACTCTTACGACCCTCACTTATTTCACGTAAGTCACCTGTGCAATTATAATAGTCCAGCGAACCATTTGAATCGGTGGCGTTGTTGATTACTACAATACCATTAGGAAAACAGCGGTAAAAAAAATCAGGTCTATGGCGCCCGACTGTTATTTTCAACAGACTTGTTGCAAAACCATTTAATCCAAGCGCTAAAGTCCAAACCCAGCTTGCTGCCCGAAAGTCACGCCGATCTCCCGTCAGCCACAAATGAAACATTGTTACAAATAATGGACCAAATATCACAGATAATATTAGTGTCTGAGCTGAAACTATATCTGGCGTGCGAGGATTTTTGTACAACCACATCTCTTCAGGATGAACTTTTCGTTTGAATGGTTTTGTTATTTCCAGCGATCTTAAAGAGAAATATTTAGCTAATAGGTTGTTTGTGTTTTACGAAAAAACTTTTAAATCATTAAGTGATATTAAAAAGTCATATCTTGATTATTTTTCATGAGAATGGTACTTACATAAAAATAAATACTAGCATAACACGTATTCCGACATCGATAGCGTCACTTAAGCGTTTTTTTCCTTTGCCCCCATCAAAACAACAACAGCCTTCCCCATCATCATCGTCATTGTTAGAGAATCGCGGACATTTTCCTCTATTATAGAGCTGAGCGTTGGTGTTATTAGTATTATCGCAATTCTTATAGTCCATGATTTTATTTAAAGTAGCTCGCTTAGTTGATTTTTCACTTCTGTACAAGTCATCTGCCGAACTTTCACTGAAACGGCGATTCATAGTGATACCAACATTCAGATTTGAGTTCATTAATACTGTCGCTGTTTTACTTGTCGTTTCTGCTGACGTAATTGTGGTTGGTGTTTTTATCGGAGGCGTTTGAGTAAGCTGATAAGAATTTTTATGGGCAGAAGGGAACTGAAACAGGTGGTTAATAAAATGAAGAAAATGTTTAGCTTACATGTATTATTAGTAGAGAGATAAAAATATTTGAACAGCATGATTTGTGCAGTGATATGTCAATATTAATATTCAAAATTATTACGAATTAATACTTACATATTTGTATTTGACAATTGTTCTTATTGATCTTTGGCATAAGGTGAAAGATCAATTGTTATTTTTATATCTACTATTATTACAATTGCTCTTATTGCTTTTTGGCATAAGGTGAAAGTGAAAGAACAATTTTTATTATTACATCTACTATTATTACAATTTTAAGTTAAAATTTAGTAAACAAATTTTAGGTAAAATATTTATAAAGGGTACCACATACCATCAGATAAAATTCGTTTTCCTTGTGGCCATTTCGTTGTTGATGTTGTCTCTCCTTGTATTCAATAGTATCTGCTTTAAAATGCAAATTTTTAGACTGATTTGCCAGCGTTTGAGTACGTTTGCGCAACTCGGTTTCTGAAGAGGAACTCGAACGTAAGTCAGGACTTTTTATCTCGCTATCCATTTTCAATATACTTTTCACTGTCAAATAAAATCATTTATGAATATATAGACTCCACTTAATATACTGTTAAGTCATTCAGTTTATAATCTTTAATGTTTACCCAAACTGATTCATCACCATTACTTTTACTTTGTAGCTAGCTCTCTAAATTTGACATACACTATTTCTATTAGTTATAACGAATAATTAGTATTATTAGTCAGTAATACTTTTTTATTTCTATTGAAGTTATCAAATTACTTTAGGTAGAAATTCTTATAAATATCATATCGATATGTACATATTTAGCACCAATTCTTACCTTCTCCTATAACTTTAAAATTTCCATTGTACCAACAAACAAACTGTAAATAACGGACGTAATATCTCTTTTAACATCTAATATTTTTATTTTTTTTAAACATTGTCCACTCAAAAAATTCTAATGTCAACAAATTGTGCTCCAACTGCTTAACGTATTTATAAATATATACAATTGTACATAATTGTTATCAACACATGAGTTTCAATAAAATAACCAGGTCACAATAGAGTGTTATTTATCGGTAAATCGTAGAAAAATCGATAGGAACTTGCAGTCATATGATTTTCTGATAAATAGAAATATCTGTATTAGAAATATAACTCTGATTGCTAAGTTATTTGAATTTGAACAAATTAAATTCGTCTAAATTAATAATTTACTAAAAAATGTCTTCGAAGAAAGAAGAAATTGGAAATTTACTTGACGTGCTATATTTAGAAATGTTGGAGTTGATAGAACAACACACAGCGAGCAGAGTGAATATTGAAAGATTAATGAACAGTGGACAGTTGATGTTAGCCAAAACACGGTACCTTAAAGGATCACAAACTATTAGTTCGGCACAAATTCCGACCGATAATAGTAATACATTTAATGCACTTTGTGTATTGGAGGAGCAAAAAAATTACACAAAAATATCAAGTGCGGAGTACAGTCTGATGTAAGTGTCCAATGTCTTTGGTTTTGTACCCTGAATTAAATTTGCCACGAAGTTTGTAAAATTCAGAAGGAAATGTATATATGTATTTATAATTTTCAGTCGATATCTCATAAACTTATGGACTTATTCGCGAATACAGCTATCATACACACTGAACGATCAAAACCAAGTTCTTGTATAATTTGCGTTAAATTAATGTCCACAATCACGGTAAATCTCCGGACAAATTATCCCGATCGACGTATTATGCATACAAATTGATCGTTCCCACGACAGTCGGGGTCTATGTAACCAGTGCACACCAGTTTTTTATCAGAACAATAACAAGAACCTATCCAAATCAAGTTCTTATATAAAAACTGCGATATTTTAGTCCTAAAGCGCAATATATAGCTTCGGTGCAATCGAAGTTAACATATTTTCTAATATTTTCAAAAAAAAATATTTATCTGAAAAATAATATTAGGCTCAATAATCAATTTTACTTTTTATTTTAATTTAACTTACAGGAGACGTAACGTCGATAAAAATAAAGAATTTGTCGAACCAATGCATTGGTTCACTTTACTACCACCCAGTAGTTTGCGAACCGCATCTGATCACTTCAAAAAATGTTTAGAATTGGTATTGGAAAGCGCGAATGTACAACGAGAACTTCTTGCAGTAATGGAACATATTGATAGACTTAAACAACATTACAAAGCAATATGAATTCTACTTCCCCTAACAACTTACTTATAATAACATAAAATGATAAAGTAATCAAATATATTCCTTTAAATTAATTAAAATTAACATAAATACATACATTATGTTTTTTGTATATATTTTGTATATATAGTATACATTTCTTACTACCGATAACGTGATTTCTAAACTTCGTCTTTAACCTCAAACACAATCTTTAAGTTATCACCAATACCAGCCTCAATTACATCACCAGCTTTTACAGGCAACGCACCGTCTGGTGTGCCGGTGAGAATAAGATCGTTGGGTTCAAGCGTCATATACTTTGAAGAGTAAGCTATAAGGTCGTCTACTTTAAAAATTAGATCTTCAGTATTGCCTTGCTGACGTAGCTGTCCATTCACTTTTAACCATAGTGAAACTTTATGAGGATCTTTGATGTCGTTCGCAGATAAAAATCCCGAAACAGGAGTTGAAGTGTCAAAACCTTTACCTAAGCTCCATGGATGACCATTTTGTCGTGCTAATCCTAAATTACATTGCGCAGTCATATCAAGTGCTAGGCAATAACCACTTATATAGTTGAACGCTTCTTCTTTTTTGACATTCTTACATTGCTTTCCAATTATGACGCCTAACTCAACCTCATGCGCGACTTTTGTAAACACTTTGGGAATCTGAAAATAATATTTATAACACATAAATTATATTTTGACATCACTAGAAATACACTGGACATACAACAATTGGGTTGCCTTCGGTTATGTAGGATGTTGTTGGTTTAAGGAATAAAAGTGGTTCTGCTGGCACCGCAACATTTCGGGAGCGTACGATATCCCTGAAAAGATATTCAATTAGTATTATCTACATATGTATGTTTTATAAATATTTTTCACGCACATATAATTAAGTGCTGCACCAAGAATTTTTCTTCCTTTCCTAACAAAGTCATATTTTTCGGATGCGCTTGAAGATAATGCCATTTTTTCGTATGCTATACCCGCGGTAACACGAAATGAACTAACTAAATTCATCTTTCAATGATCTAATTAATAAATGTTGCGTCAATGCAATGTTGAATTCAATTAATATAAGTTTTGTGCGCAAAGAATTTTGTGTTAGGAGCGGCAATCAGCGAAAATGTTATGAGACAATCTCTGGAACTATGCGAGAGCCAACATTCGCTCTTTTACTTGATAATAATAGTCACTTGTGACCTAAGTTAAGAGTTGAGGAAGACATATGTACATACATTGATATTTATAAATAATCACTTATTTTATCATTTGATAATGATTTTGAGAAAGTAACAGTAATAACAGCTGTTTTCGGTTTTTAGTAGCGATAACAAACATCTGTTTGGCTTACGCTCTCTACATGATAAGTGGCGCTGTTTTGCCATGACGTATACCACATTGGATTTTACGTATTCGCTATGACGTTCATATGAGAACAGTGATAAAACTAAATCGTTAGAATATAGTTGTATTTGAAAGTGGATAAAATAAAACGAGTTCACACTTCCAGCCATACTTGAGGCAGGATAAGATCCTTATCAACAACGCCGCAAAGATGATAAAATTGACTTTATTGACAACTAGTCTTCATATTTGTGTCACCAAAATCTTTAGCTTTGCTAAATTTTTGTGCTTCATGTCTAATATTGTATTACGAAATACGTTTATGTGATTTGTTGCAGTATGAAGAAGAAGAACTGTTAGTAAAATGTCAATAAAAGTTATAAAAATCTGGCAATTTTAGTGAAAAACAACTGGAAATACGCAATTTATTCATTGTGGATATATTTAGTATTATAAATATCGGAAAATTTTAATTTAAATAGATTGAGGATGAAATATTAGTGAAATATGCGTAAAAAAGAATAGAGCAAATTGAATTCCATTTGATATATTTACGTAGTTAGACCTTTTAGCATTTTGGTTGTTATAAATAAGTATCTAAATATGTGTAAAGATTTTCGTACTGGAAATTTTTGAGGGCATTGTCGAGCTGCTGGATGGATGATTGGGGACTTAATGAGGTGTGGAAGTTCTTCAATTCAGCTGAAATTTGACAAGTTTTAAAGTTGAAATTTATGCGATGAATGTATTTGTTGGTCTCTTGTTCGATTTCTGTTTTTTTACTTATTGGAATATTTATAGCGTAACTGTCAGTAGTAAAGAAATTTAACGCCAAAACAAGAACAACTGTCAATGTGACAATTGAGTGTATGTGTATGGGCGGAAAAAGAGCAGCGGTGAAAATAACAAAATAACGCACCAGAATGCACAGAACGCATCTCGCAGAAGAAGTAGCGTCGAAATTTATAAAATAAATGACTTGGCAAAGTTGCTTGTATTTGGAGTAGGGCGGGCAACAGTAAAGGCGAAACCTAATTGCATAGTCATACTCCAATTGGACATAATAAAATTATAGAATTAGCAAGTATTTTTTTTGAGTTAATGCTTTAACAAATGTGTTTTAAAAGATGTAAATAATTACATAAAATTAAGTTTAATTAGTGATATAAAGCGTTTGGCAGTTTCGTTTTCATGTCTCCTTCCAAAATATAGCAAAAGAGAAATCGAGAGGCCTAAATTATGCATATGTAATAAAAAACTTCAGTGCTCACACATCAAGTTAAAATTAACATGTATACAGTGCTTTATATTGTTTGTTGTTTTGTTTAAATGCAGCAAATTACAAAAATTCGAAAGGCTGAGAAATGAGAAAGTTAAAGCAAATTAAAATTCAAAGAATTATAATAAACAAAAGTAAACGGTTGCAATATTATTAAAAAAAAAAATGAAATAGTCTGTATATATATGGTTGGTTGCTGAATGCTAAAAATGCAAATTTGAACAAAGAGTAAAGAGTGTAACTTTGGAAATAAAAAGACAATTAGCACATTACAAGTTGATCAATAAAGCAGTTAACACAACTGACTACCAAAAATAATAATAACTTACTAAATAGTGATTAAAAATACTCAATTCTCTTAAATTGCCATAAAATAATATAATCTTAATATTACGAACTGTGAAAATTAATAAAACTTGAAACAAAGACCGTAATGCTAATGGTTCTTGATCAATAAATTTGAAGATTTTTTAATAAAAATATAATTTAAGTTAAGATGGACACATCTTTAACACAACAGCGAAATCGTTTAAAACCAGCACCTACTACAACGACTACATCAGCAGCCAATGCTTCGCCACTGAGTAGTAGTATCAGTGGTGGAACCAGCGCGATTTTAACCAATCATAACAATATCAGCAATAATGCCGGAATTGTAAATGCAAATAGAAGTGTTGGTAGTGCAAGTGTTGCAATTATGACAAGTTCTGGTGCGGTAATACCAATTACTCCATTAACGCAGTTATCAACTCAATCTTCATCATTGGAACGAATAACCACAACGTCATCATTGGCGAATCTCTTAGATGGATTTACTTCACGTGTATCGGGCGATCGTACTCAGAACGCTGTTAGCACCCCTAGTAGTATTAGTTCTTTGGGTAACACCGCAAATGCCTTCTACTCTTCTTTAGGACTTGCTTTCAACTCCCTGACATCGCCAATTTCTACGGTTGCTGCTGCAGCACAAGCGACCACCGCTGAAGCTGCAGCTGTTGTTGTAGCTGCTGCTTCAGCCATTTCAAATCATCTTAGCTCACCAACAAGCGGAACGCCTCCTAATATGGAGGGCTTATATGATGATGATGATTGTGAGGATGACGACGAAGATGACGATCGTCATGTACCAGCGCCAACACCTAAAAAGACATGGTCAGAGATTAAATCCATTGTTAATGATATGCGCAAACAGTTAGTCAATTTATCCAGCATGATGCCATCTAATATACAGTTCCGTACGTTATCTGACGGTCGGGTGCGATGTTACTTTCTGAGTACACCACCCAATGCCTGGGAACCAACACTGCTTTATGCAGACATTAATATAAATGCAGCAGAAGAAACTATTTTGCAAAATAGTCCACCCCTAACTGATATAAATGATAGTATTGAAAGCGTTAAAGTTTGTAACAACATTGCATCAGTTTCAGATGGTGGATCAGATAACGTAGCTGATTCCCTTGGGAATGTTGTAACAAATCGCTTGCCGTCACCAACTTCTTCACACGCTTCGTCTCCCATATTGAATTCATCTTTCCTCAGATATAGTTCAAACAAAAGGTTAGCCAAAGCTTCATAAGTACATATAATTCTTTATATGATTAAGACAATATTTCTTATTATTAATTATTAAAATTATATTTATATTAGGCTTCAATGGAAGGTGGTATTACAACAGCCAATGTCAAGTGTGGCTGCTACGGCTGCTAGCGGAGGCGTTAATCTATGGTCAAGAGAATTTCAGCTACTGCAGGAACGGAAACGACTCTCAACGTGGGGCATTACTTCGTACGAGTTACACAAACCAAGCGGAAAAATAGTTTTTCCCTGCTTTAGTGATCTGTATCAATGCCTCGATACTGGATATAATGTGAGTACAGATACCACTTTTAAAATAAAGTCTGAAACTGAATGTAAAAATCTTCTGTGTAAAATAATTCTTTTATGAAATTTAATGATTTGTTTTCTTTCTTTTGATAATATTATTTCCTAATGGTACTTAATTGTCGGATCTATAAGCAGATTCTAGCATTTCATCGTATAATTATGAAGGCGAGAGTAGGATTTATTCGAGTTAAACAAAGCACATTTTTATAATTTTTTACTTTTAATAAAATAGTTGAGCTAACAATACATTACATTTGTAGAATATTTCTGTTGAAGTTTCGTGTAGAAATGTAAAAAAATACGGCTATGACAACAATTATTCTAGAAAATCGATTAATTCGTTATTGAAAAATAATAATATTAACGAATATAGAAACAGAGTTAAAAATTTCAAAACGACCTGCGCGGTAGTTCTGAAGTTATAAATGACATCATACAGGTTTAATTATTATTGTAATTGCAAACAAGGGATGTAAACATCCACATTTAATTTTAATATATTTATTGTCTTATTTTTGTAATCAAAGTTTAACAAGTTTTTATATTGTGATAATTTATTATTCAAATGAGTAAAAAATAGGAATAGAAGATAAACAGTTATTTCAAAGTGTTTGGATTTTTTGAATGGAATAGTATAATTCAATAGTAAAGAATATCTGCGTTTTTCCTGTTTAAAAAAAAAAAAAAAAACAAATGTGTAAATTAGACAATATTTTTTTAATTTTTCTAAGGAGTATAAATTGATAAATAACGTTGTTTATATTTTTCGATTTACAATGTAAAATGGATTAGTTTCATTACCGATTTTTTGTTTAGATCACACTGCTTCATATCAATCATATGCAATCTGTTTTCCTTTTTAATTGTTATTAATTATTATATTTGTTAGGGGGCAATTAAAATTAGCATATTATCTTAATTTTAATTGCTATTGGTCAATGAACTTTAGCTTGATGTGATAAGACGACGCATACGACATCGTTAGGCTGTCGGTAATTTCTATAGAGTTCTAATTTGGCCGGTTTTTGTATGCATGTACATATGTATAACAAAAATATGTACATACATACATACATGTATATGAGAGAGGGCAACATGGTTTCATATTAAATAAATCAAATCTCTGAATAAAAACACGAAAAAATGATAACTTTTGTTGCACCGAAGCTAAAATACCTTTCACGCATAAATAATTCGTACTTGATCTTAATCGACCAGTTTGTACGGTAGCTATAGACATACCTATATACTTAGTGGTTCGATATCAGCAGAAAGAGAGTGCGAAAACTTTCAAATTTATTTTAAAATTTACCATAGACGCTTGAAAAATTTTTGAAATGAGAGCCAAAAATAAATTGGGCTTATATTTTATACATAATTTCTCACTATACACTATGAAATGAGTATGAGGATAATACTATAAAATGGATTTTTATATTTCTTATTATTTCTAAATATATATGTACATATATATATTTTTACAGACCAGCCCGCTTTTCCCTACACAGTTGCGAACATGTCCCCAGTGGGCAGCGTTAGATCCACAAATCTGCCCACAGAATTCTGATTTAATAGCATACATTAGCGGTAGCGACATATGGGTGACACATACGGTTAGCGGACATGAAGAGCGTTTGACATTCGTGCACGATGGCCGTCGTTCTATTGCAGATGATCCTCTTAGCGCTGGTGTGCCATCATATATAATGCTTGAGGAGTTTAGCCGCTTCCAGGGTTATTGGTGGCAACCACACTCTAATGGTAATCAAGTAATCAAATAATAAAAAAAACACATGCTTTATATGTTTGTGAACACATCGTGTTTTTAAGATGGTGTATATCGCATTGTTTACGAGGAAGTGGATGAATCGGATGTTTGCTTGTATACATTTCCATCATCGCAAGCAACGCCTGGGGAAATAGAAGAATATCGTTTTCCACGTGCCGGCACAGCCAATGCAAAATCCAAATTAAAATTAGTGCAATTCGTGCTCAATGAGTCGCTGCAAATCAGTGACGTTTGTATAAAGGATTTACCGTATTCGCTTTCCGTGGTGTTTCCTTGGCTGGAATATATAGTGCGCATTGGGTGGACGCCCGATTCAAATTAGTGAGTATCATTTACGCACAATATGTATAATCAGGGTTGCGAATTTTTCAGCTAAATTTTTTTGAATTATAAATTGGATTTATTTTCAATTTTGGTATTAAAAACTCAACATTTTTTGATTTAATAATAAAGATTTTAAAACTAATTTTTAATCCATTTTTTTTTATTTATATCCAATATTGGGGATTTAATTAAGAACTTCTAGATTACAACAAAAAAAACATTTTTTAGTTAATTCAATGATTTTTAAATTAATTTTTTACAACCCTTTGTTGTCTGGGCTTGTACATAGTCCCTCCTTGACGACTTGGTTTATTATTAATTATTTAATCAGCTCTACGTTGCATATATCGTATAATAAAATCGTATTTTTATAGCGTTTGGATGCAGGGCTTGAACCGTAAACAACAACGTTTGGATTTGGTACTTATACCCTTGGATAATTTTTGCGAAACCTATACCAGCACGGCGTCGTCGCCCTCAGGTTCGGCCGACCACAGCTGGAAGAGTCCATATTGTAGAGCTGTGTCACCTCTACAGGTATAATCCCTGTTACATAATAATTCGTAGATTACTTGAGTAAACGTAAATGTTCGATTCAATATTTTTTTTAGGTTATTTACTCTCAGACATCAGATACATGGGTGAATGTGCACGATTTGCTTTATTTTCTGGAAATAACCGATACAACGGTGACTTTTTTGTGGGCCTCTGAGGAGACTGGTTTTAGACATTTATATCTCGTCACATCTAGCCTGAATACATGCCCACTGAATGGGTATAAAGACACGCATAGCACTACGAACAATTTTGAAATGAATAGTCGAACAAATTCAACGTCATCTACCACATCAGCCAACATGGATATTCATACGGATTTCATCGATAGTGTGACGTTGCATCCCAGAATTATTAATAAAGTAATAATAGCGCTTTATTTAATGGGGAAAATGTTTACTTATTATATTTTTTAGGTAGCACTTACCTCCGGCGAATGGGAGGTTTTACATCGAAACATTTGGGTGGACAAAGCGCAACAGTTGGTATATTTCATAGGATTACGTGATACGCCACTGGAAAAACACTTGTATGTGGTGAGTTTACAACGTCCCGAACACATACGTTTGCTAACCGAACCGGGCTATTCATATCAGGTGGAATTTGATGAGGTAATAATGATATTTATCATACAACATCAATTTAATAATTCATACATTCTTATTATTGGTATTTTGCAGTCATGTCAATTGATGTTGCAAGTCTATTGCAACATACAGCGCTTGCCTTCCTGCAAAGTGATGCGTGTTGTACAAACATGCCAAAATGGTGGTGTTAACGGCATACAATTATCACTGATGGGCTATCTTCATGAGGGTGGCAAACCTGATCCACAATATTCTCCGCAAATGTTCCGCCCACAATTACCGTCGGGTGAAATCGTGTATGCAATGGTTTTTAAACCACATAATTTCCACTTGGGCATAAAATATCCAACAGTGCTCAATGTTTATGGCGGACCTGAGGTGCAAACTGTCAATAATACGTTCAAAGTTGGTTTATTAAATTCTAGATTTGATTGTTTTAATGATTCATATTCGCAATTTCAGGGTAAACATCAGTTGCGCATGCATATGTTGGCGGCGCAAGGGTATTGTGTCATTTGCATCGACTCGCGTGGGTCACGACATCGTGGACTTAAATTTGAAACTCACATACGTTGTCGCATGGGCCAAGTGGAGCTGAACGATCAAGTGGCTGCATTACGAATATTGGCAGATCAGTTGGGCTACATTGATATGAATCGTGTAGCTATACACGGCTGGTCCTATGGTGCGTAATTAATATTATAAAATTTTGTAATTTTAAATAACAAAAAAAAAAAAAAATTGTATAGGTGGTTATCTCAGTTTAATGGGTCTGGTGCAGTATCCTGAAGTCTTCAAGGTTGCAATTGCTGGAGCGCCAGTTACAAATTGGGAATATTATGACACGGGCTATACGGAACGCTATATGGATTTGCCGCAGAATAATAAACGTGGCTATTCAGGGGGCTCTGTACTCAATTACGTAGACGCTTTCCCCGAAGAGTAAGTTCAAATGAATGAAAATCCAAATTATTTTTGAAAATCCATTTACACACACATATTGCTTTCATTGCGCAGAGAAAATCGTCTTTTACTCATACACGGACTCATCGATGAGAATGTTCACTTCTATCATACCTCACAGCTCATATCAGCCTTGAATCGTGCAAACAAACCATACGATCTACACATATTCCCTGAAGAGAGACACTCATTGCGCAACTTGGAATCCAATAAAAATTATGAGACGAAACTATTGGCGTTCCTGCAAAACTTATGAAATTGCCAACACCATGCTACCTAGCAATTAGCTATGCATATAATAATAACGACAACGATGACGATAGCAATGCTACTTATAATTTTTGTGTTGTAAACTTGTAGCGATAATCTCTTCAAAAAATACGTTTCCACATCCACAAACACCAAGTATGATCGCCATAATGTAGTAAATAACAGCGCTAAAAAGGCAATATCGGTTGATTGGCAGCAAATATTAGTAATGTATGTTTGTTGCCAACCTCCACTTTTCGGAAATCGTTAAGCGCATGTAGTGTATTTTATTTCAACTGACCTCTAGCAAACTATTTAGATTAAAAATTTTATTTTTTTTACCATCTTCTATCACTAAATAACTTGATTTGTACAGCCAGAAAATAATAGTAGCTTCTATAGCATCAGCGACACTAAATTAAAATCGGCAGAAAATGCATTAGCGCAGTATGTATATAATCGCTTGGCGTTTCGAGCAGCGTGTAACGTAAAAGTCATGTGTGCAGAAATTAATATTAGTAATAATTAAATTAATGAACAATATATATATATATATAAACTTAAGCTAAATTATAAAAAGGCAAATATAAGCGTTTACTTAAACTAATTGTAGTCAACTGCAAGAATTTGAATAATCTTATCACAATAGCAAACAGAGTGATGTAAAAATTAATAGAACCTATGGCTGCCAATACAAAGTGCTGCGAACTATAGATTTGTAAACTCTTCATACACCTTCAAATGTTTCATGCGTGCTCAAATCGCGTTGTACATAAGTTGGTCAAATATAATTATTATTATTATTATTATTTATTTTTTTTTTTGGTTTATGTAAAGCATAAAGTCATCAATTGCTAATATTTATTGCTTACAACATATTGTGTATTAATTTTTATTTTAAAAATTAAAAAAAAACAACAACTTGTAATTTTAGTGCGCAGCTAGATCTATTGAAACGCGTTCAATTGCGCATTGAAATAAATGTGAAATTTCGAAATTAGGCGTTACGCCTTAAACTGAGTAACTCATAGCAGTATATACCGTTTTGTACCGTTACATGTAAGATTAAAAAGGTCTAATCAGTTCATTTTGTGCTCATAAATAAGAATAAGTAAAAAGCAATTTCAAAAACTGTGTTGTTTGCATTGAGATGATTTTTTAACTGATGACAATTTCCAACGCAGAACTTGCCGGTTTATAGCCTGCAATGATTAATGTTAAAAGTCCTAAACGTGTCGTTGTCCTCAATATTTAAATGTAATGTATGTAAATATAAAATGTTGCAATATTAAATATAAATTAAATAACAATTAACTTTATTTACTAATTCATAAATTCATTATTAATTATGTTCACTGTTATATTACGAAATTTTTGAAAAAAAAAAAAATAGTCGCTAGTTTATAATAAACGCAAAAAAATGTATTTATTAAAAGAGACGAAACGTTGAATAATTAAATTAAACAAAAAATGATAATGATAATAATAATAAAGAAGTGTATATTTAAAATTTCGTGATTATTACAACAATTGTATTGCTTATGCATAAAAATAAACTTATACAAAGGCTGTTTCGTGTATTGAATGCCTAAAGTAGGTGAAAAAGTATGTTTTTATTTAACGTATTCGCTGACTGACTAATTGTTGTTGGTGGATATTAGACCCGGTCGATTTTTTTCTCTATAAAATCGCATATGCGGGAAATATTCTACGGATCATTCTAAACAAATTTGGTTAAGAGAATATGGGTTTGAAATCGGTTTGGAGCCATCGTATTTAAAGATGGAGAACGGTATCATTCTATGTTAGGCTACTTACGTAATACAGGTTTTAGTTGCGGAATTTTAACGAACACAGGCTTTGTAAGTGTGCCTGCAGCAAGAAGAGAACGCTTTATGGTGCTCACACAAATTCTTCTAAGCAAGTATAAAGAAATAGTTTTCAAATATTTGTAATTATAATTTTCTTTATTCTTTTCATTTATATATAATTTATTGATAATTACAATTTAATAGTGTACATTAATTTTCCTTATATTAAGTTACTTCAGAAGACGGTATATTCCAAGCGGGGGTATTGTATGCACATTTGTAATTATGTTTGTTATTCATTTTATTTGATTAGTAGTTATGTAAATGTAAAAAATCTAATGCTAATTTGTTTTACTTATCAAAAATTATACTAACTTTTGGATTTCTTTAGCACATACTTTGTAGCATTTCCCTTCAAGCAACCTATTAATATACATACATACATATACGTATAGGTACATACAACGTATGCAGATAATATCTATGCATACATACATTATATATATTTAACCTACTTGGCTAATTCTTATGAAAATGTAAGCTTTAACAATTTCCGTGATTTTGGTTGCTTAAAAC